ATTGTGCGCTGCCGTCATTACAGAAAAAGACAATGGAGAGCTTAAGAGTCAAACGGACTCAAAGTCAGGTACTTTGCATAACTCACGTAAAACAAGGTTTTAAATTAGCTAGAAAGGTTAAATATGTGGGTATGAAAAGGAGTGGCTCATACCAGATACACCTAGAGATTGATTTCACTATCTCTCTCTAGTTCATTGCCTTTTCCAAACTGTTTTTCGGGGAAGATTCACTGGTGTTATATAAAATTCTTTACGAGTGCAAAGCAGTTCAACACAACTACTCCTGAAAAATGTCCGAGGGGAAGAAAATTAGTGACATACACTATGATACAGCTGATTCAGCAAGAGTGGTGTGCTTCCCAACACTATTTTCCCTCAGAGATGACTTTTCAAAATATATTTTCTGGAATGTTAAATTAATATAGCATTAAATTGTCCATTATATACGTATAAAGAACCTGGAATGCAGAAGAAATAAATGAGACAGAAAAATTGTGAAAATTACAGGATTATATCTTGTCCCCATATTGCTACAAGATGTTTAAGTATAACACTCTTACTTAAAAAAGGTACAATGAGTAACAAGTAACAAGTAGTAGATATATATTTTAGTGCTCCTACAGCGAGTTTCATATTGATTAGAAATAAGTTCTACTAAGCACCGAGAAGCCAGCACACAGAAAGAGATTACCAGTTTTGACAACCTGGTATAAAAATAAGGACTGTACTAATGAATCTGGAATAAATAAAAAAAGCACAAAGCAAATCAAAGTCCAGTACTTACAAGAAACATATTTCTTTTACATTTATTATGCTTTCAAGGATATTATTGTAAAAACATCACTACACGTAGAATCCTATAGGACATGTCAGGGACCAGTAAAAAATACCATGGGTTATTAGCAATCACAAAACCAGCTCCATTCATAATCAGCCATAAACCCAGAAGGACTTCCTCTGTCTAGTATCTCTATTCTCTATCAGAAAATCAAGCCTGGTCATTGATAGGCAGACAGTAAAAGGTTAAGGTAGTCCAACCACAGAAGCATGAAGAAAATTAGGGGAAATGAAACACTTTATGATTGGTGCCTTTGATATTATAATCTCCCAAGTTACCTTTCTATTGCATTCAAAGGCAATAAAACCAGACAATGGGTGTACAGCAAACACTGAAGTCAACCAGTTATTTTATGTGCTCAGAGAAGACAGGCAAAATCCAAAACACTCCCACATTAATAAAGAGATAACAAAACCACAAGGCACAGTATGGCACAAACTGATCAGTGTATCGGAGCTTGACCTCTTGTGAACAATCGGAGTCCGAAGCTGAACATCGTGCACAGAGAGTGTATTCACACCAGAGCGCACCCTGGACGATTGAAGCATTCCAGTATTGTTAACGGTGTTTATTTTCACATGATCAGGCTCTGCCTCAGTTTTCCCACACATGAAACTAGATTGTTTTAGCAATTAATCAACAAATAATTCTTTAGTTCTTTGTTTTTAAACTGCAGACCTAACATTTTCAGGTAATCCTGTAATGGCAAAAAATTCAGTTTGTCAACTTGTGCTGACAATATGCATACACCACGTTTAACTTCTGCTGAGATGAACAGTTATGGAGAAGATAGAATTACATTTGAGGAAAGCTTTATTAGATCAGTTTCTGATGGTTAAGCTAAATATCACATACGTGGTCAAAAAAGTAATAACCAGAGTCAAAACAGCTGTGCTGGCTTGCTTGATCCACTGCGAGAAGAATCAGTAACCCTCTCCACTGACTGCCACCTACCATGGAGCTATTTTCAGACAGGGCAGATGTCAGTTCTGAATGTCGTTCTTAAAATTGTAACAAGAAATGTTCCTCGTGAACTTTAAACAACTACAGCCACATTAAACCAAGTCTTCCCTCGCTTTATCAGTCCTCCTGCTATACTCTTTAAACTGGAGCCCTTTGTGCATATCTCATCTGGATAAAATGGGCAATTAAGGTATCCATGCTCAATTTCTACTAACGTGGTTTGGGTTGATATCATTCCAGATACTAGAGAAATTCAAGCAGATCTTTGCCAAGGATCAATCCGATTCAGCCATGTGATTCAGGTCCTCAAACATCTTAAGAACACGGACAAAGTCAACCCCTTGGACTTGTTCAAAGTAAACCATGAAACGTGAACCGGAAGAGGAAACTGTGCAAGTACAGTACATTTAAAACCGAGAACATGAGGAACTTCTTTCCACAAAGAGTTATGGTTGTATTGAACAAGATATCTATGAATTGGCTTCATTACTCTGCTCTCCTCCCCACTGAGAGATGGTGTGTGGGGAGTGTACTGGCGCACTATGGCTGCCGTCACATCATCCAGGTAATGGTGGTGGAGGGGAGTCCCCATTACCTGTAAAGCGCTTTGAGAGGAGTGTCCAGAAAAAGCGCTATATAAGTGTAAGCAATTATTATTATTAATTATACCCACCCTTGTTTAAGAAGCCAATTTTCTGGTGTCTTTTAAGAAATGGCGGTCTTAGATCCTCAGATCAATCTTCTACCAGCAATCCAGTAAGTCAGATAGACTGAATGGTATTTTCTTGTGTGCCATGTTTCTCATGTTCTTAATCGTACAGTATGCATACACCACAGAAAAGAGCAACCCTTCCAATCCACTCCACTCCCAGTCCAGGAACTTGTTTAATGAGTTCTGCTAATCAGTAATTAAATAAGGAAATGGAAACAGCAACATTTCGCAACATAGCAGGTGGCATGGACTATGTGCTGTGTAAAGATGGAATCTGACGGAGAGATATCAGAGGTAGCACGAACAATACAGGCAACTGAACAGAAGCCTTTACTGAAATTTTAAACGGGCTTGCTGGTAGCATTGTTCCAGGGGGGACTCACTGTACCAGATTATGATATCTGTCCCCAGGGCACATACTATAATGCATTGCAAATGTTGTTCTCAGCTGAGAGCCAAAGCCATAAGAAGCCTATAAAGATAATCTGGTGCTTTTACAACTTTAGATCCCAACTGAAAGGTTATAACAAACCTGTGACACTCAGTACAGCAGGATGAAATTTAATTCACACCGTATGAAGTTATTAGGTGAATATCTAAGGTTCTGAAATGTGGCCTGCTTGTAAAAGGTTTCAGTCACTTAACGAGAATTACAAGGCATCAATAATTTTATGATGAAGCAGTGTTGTTAAAATCTGGCTGTACAGAGCCATAGGGCAGCTGGTGTCCTAGGTTGCAATGTGGGTTGTATTAAGTACAATTATCGAAATCCGATAATTTCAGGAGAAATGAAAACCAGACCAGCATGTGGCTCCTGAGGGCCAGATTTGAAGGGCACCATCATAAAGACTGATCACTGTGGTATTTGGGGCCCGTTTAAATATATCAATTTTTTGTGATTAGGCTTACTTCAAATTCAAGGATTCTTACACGATGATGATCGTAAGATTTACTTAAAGTGCTACTTTACAAGAGAGCTTTAAAAATCTGTGTTCTGTCTCCCCACACAGCAGTGTGTGCAGTACCAAGTTACAGGGTGCGCTGTGTGCAGTATTGATCTCTGCTAGAATGGACTAGGGACCATGAGACCTGTGACGTGCCTACAAGATCAGGAAATGTCCATCAAACACATTTGCAGAACCGCGGTTGTCAGGGTTCTCTGTGGCATTTTGTGGTTATTTTACGTCTTCAAAATTGACTGTCTTCAACCTAAAGCAGGCAATTAAACCATAACTGCCCAACATTAGGAAAAAGCCTAAGTCAATTCAGTCATCATTCATCTTTTTTTTTTCAATCCGAGTAAAAACTAGGCATGTTTCTTGGCTGGTGGAGATCCCAGGGAT